TATACACATATATAATAGTATAATAATGGAAAAGTGACTGTATTTTACAAAATACTAGTCTACTAAAACACAGCCAAGACAGGTCACTTTGTACAGATTAAAGGTCAGTTTTATATGGTAATATAAGAGTACGTGTGCCGCATCTTTGTCAGTTCTGAAAGGTCCATATAATTAAAATAATAAATATACATAAATGTATAATGTTATGATATTTAAACTATTTGGTCTAAACATTTATGATAACGTGTTATAATTGGTGTTCATTCTAGAATGAAAGAGGCACAATTTATATTAATTTACTAATTTTTTATGGTAGTTACAAGATCGGTCAAAGCTACCAAACCCATACAGAGATTTGTTTGTGAAAATAACTGACAAAATATAAAGTTTTTTTTCTTAAGAAATGTTTGATAACTATCAAGACATTATAAAGATTTTGCATTTGTGATATTTGAAAATTTTCTGATGCATAAAAGTATTTTTAATCTTAAAATGAAAATTAATAAGCATGTTGGATAAGCAATATGTGAAAAGAAAAAAAAAGGCATGAAAAAAACATTGCTTAACAAAACTTAATAAAAAAAATTGATATTTTGAGTATGAAAGCATTGTAATGTTTACTGATAATCTACATACACTTACTAATTTAAAAGTTATAGCATGAAAACTATAACAAGCACAAAATGGTTACGAGATCAGTCCCAAGTACCGAGCCCTTGCTTAAAGAGTTAACTAAGCCTACCTCATCTTGTTCAATGGAAAACATTTATCTTTCTATCACACTACAAGAAAGTATAAAATGATAAAGCAAGAACCATAAATGTGGAGGAAGTTGTTTTTCAATCACCAAGCTAAGTTTTATCATTTGTTCCAATCTTTATACAAATTCCAGCTGAACTGGAAGCCACATTGGCTTAAACAAAGAACAGAAAAAGTTGTTTCATTACATGTTTAGATCATTAACCTATGGTTTCTCAAAGCTGAGATATAGGCAATTACATTACACCATGACAACCAAGGTTGAGAAACAGCGATTGGCTAAAAATCGATAAAAATACACTAGTATTCAAGTTCAATAGTTCAAATTACTGCTGTTTTGTTCAAACTATATCTACTTTCCTCCTAGAGTCTACAAGTACTGTAATATCATCAGAAAACGTTCAGGAAATTCACAAACACTAATGTTTTTGTTTGTAGCTGAAATCAATGCAAAGACAAAATTAGCATTTTTGTTTATATTTTTATGTATAAAATTAAATAAATAACACTCTAAAATTTCAACATTGAATGTTTTTTCTTTTATGTGTGAAAGAATGACTACAAGTTTATTTTCTATAATTTTTTTTTATTTAATGTTGCAGTTTTGCCCTCTAGGCAAGATGCACCCATCCGGGTATAACAGTTAATTATAAACTGAAGAAGCTCATCACTATACATTGCCCAAATTTGTCAAAAAATTAAGCAACTGCTAACTTGAAATCTGTACAACTGATGTCAAGTTAACTAAAAACAACACACAGATTATTTGATTAATTTTGTTAGATTTCAAACATCGTAATGTATGCTGGAGAACAGTATACACTGTATAAGTTATAATATATATGACTGATCATTATTTTCAAAGTTTCACAGTATCATCTTTACCAATGAGTAGTTCTAACATAAAAACTCTGACATGACTATTCTATGATGAAGCTGATGCAACAAAACATGATGAAGAACATCCAACTTGGAATTTTCATTTTAAAAGGGTCAATTAATGTAAAATGCTTTAAGACTTGTAGGTGTTCTTGTTGAGTAAACCTTCCTGGATAGCTTAATTAACTTTTGCCCATCCTAAAACATATATACAGTAGTTATGATTGTCAGTCAGTCTCTTCAGGTTTACCTCATAGTGCATAAAGACATTTTACACTATCCATTAAAAGCATTAATTTAATTTTAAAATGCCACAGAAACAACTTTTCTTGTTACTTTGTATTGTCTTCTTGGAAGAGTAATGAATGAAGTGATGTTCTTACAAAAAACAACAACAACTATTCATCAAATGACAGCTTACCTTTAGTGAGTACCTGTCTGGAAATGATTTTCCACATCTCTTACACTTCAGAGGTTTATCACTAGTGTGTAGTTTCTGAACATGGATTCGCAGGTCTGTTTTCCGACCACATGTTGTGGGACAAAATTCACATTGGTACACTGGCTTATTTCCTGAATGGATCATTCTGTGTGCTTTCAAACTGTTTGACTGAGTAAATCGGGCATGACATACCTCACATTCATAAGGCTTTTCCCCTGTATGAATCCTCAAATGACGCTTTAGTTTGTAAGTATCAGGGCTGGCATACGTGCAGTGGGGACACTGATACGGACGCTCACCTGTGTGGCACCTCATGTGCCTTTTAAGTTTGCTCAACTCGACACTGGCATAGTCACACTCTGTACAGCGGTGAGGCTTTTCGTGAGTGTGACGGTAACGAACATGACGAACCAACTCTCCTGAAGTTGTAAAGCAAGATTCACACTCTTTGCAGTGATGAGGTCTTGTACCAGTGTGGGTATTTACGTGATTCTGAAGAGAAGCTAAAGTTTTAAAGCCACATTCACATACACTGCATTTGTGAGGTCTCTCCTCTGAATGAGACTTCATATGACGTGACAAAAGATATCTCTTTGGACTGGTGTAATTACAATAATTACACATATGTGCCTGAGTGACTGTTTGGCTTTTCTTTGGTGAAATTTTGATTGTACGCATCTTACCTCCATCTACATTAGTTTCTTCTGTTACCATCTCCCCATGTTTTTCTCCTCCTTCATTGAAATCGTACACAGACATGTCCATGTTGAGCCCTTTCTGCTCATCTTTATTTTCATCTGACTGAGAAACAATTAACACATAGCTAACCTCTCCTGGGTTTGTGTCTGATGGTACAATAGTTACTGTCTGGTATGAGTTTCCAGTATTCAACAGCACCTATAAAAACAAAAAAATTATCTTTAAACATGTAGATAATACAGTCAGTGCTCTTGATATTAAATTATCTAAAACTGGGTGATGAGCTACATTATTCAATAAAAACATTTATTTTCTATGTAATATTGGCACACTACTTAAAGGATTATAACTCAGATCTAACCATCTCTGGAGACAACACTAACTTGCTTGCTGGTTAACTAGTTTTTTGAATGATAGTAAACTTAATTTTTAAAAAAATAATAATTTGTGTGAGATAGACACATATAAAATTATTTTATTGGTTCTTATGTAATTTTAAAAGGTTTAAAAATTTATAATAATTAAAATTCACTTACTTAATCTAATTCACACCATTACAGTTATCATTCATGCAAATGATGATATAAATAACACCTAGACCACTACAGTATCTGCTGTATCCCAGCTAGCCTGATGAGCCCTGTATTGGGCAAAATACCTTGTTGGTACTAGATATGGCAGATATATTGTGGTTGACATATTATAACATACTCTTCTTTGTTTTCATTTATGAGATCTTAAATTCTTTACTGACAAAGATACTCTTACAGCATTAAAAATTACATCTAACATTCTCTACTGATAAACACTATTCTTACAGGATTATAGCTAATCTAACATTCTTTATTGACAACATTTTTCTTACCGGATTATAACTCATACATTTTTTTATTGACATCACTATTGTTACAGGATTATAACTCACCTAATATTCTTTATTGACAACATTATTCTTACAGGATTATAACTTACACCTTTACTGACAACACTACTATTACAATATCTAACATTCCTTATTGACAATATTGCACTGTGAAAAACTGTGTGAAACACAAGTATGGAGTTGGAATGGTTAAAACACAACAAGTTAAAGATAACATTTTCTTTACCTGAAAATGTATTTCTGATGGATACCTTTACATGCAGAAATCTGTCTTCTCCACATGTTTGCCTTAGAGACTTGCATGCCACTAGCATTTAGGCAACTCCCACCTAAACTCACAAGATTTCTCTTGATTTGCACAACTGCAAAATAACATCATTATGCAGCAAAAGCCAACCAGCAATAGGAGGGCAACACAACTTCCCTGCACACTAGTTTCCTCTATGCCTTTGCACTCATGATCTTCATTCTTTGAAGAGGCAAAGAATATATTGTTGCACCAGAAGTGGATACGAAGGGTGGGAAGTGTGTGAAAAGGTAATTATTTGTCAGAAATGCATTTCTCAGGTAAGGAAAATGTTAATTTCTGAGGTAATACACCCCTCTTCATGCATAAAGCTAGAATCCACTGTTGATATGGTGGAGGGACTAGTGCAAAAGTTACCTTCAAAAAGCACATAAAGGAAACTCATGAAGTGTGACACCCAGTGGCAGAGGCTCCATAAGGGCACAATCATGGGAGACCACATCACATCTATTCCAGGTTGAAAGAATGTACCTTGGAAAAGAGGTTGGAGAGCCAATATGTGTAGCATAGTTGGGGTATGTTCATACCGTACTAATAGTGCTCATCTAAATTCTACTGTCAGACTTCTTGAACTGATACTGGCTGTAGGAGGATGGAACAGGAATTATTAGTGCATATTGTTCTCAACTCTACTGTCAGATTCTTGGACAGACACCAGCTGCAGGAGGAGCACAAAGATTAAATATAATACATTGCATAATGTTAGTATGTGATTCAACGAAACAATCATTCACTGCAGGAGGAGGGCATGATTTACTAGGAAGTGCTCAACTGAACTGAACAGGAGATGACTGCAGGTATTTGATGGATCAACTGCAGTCCAAAACCATGCAGCACTGGGCATGTGTCTTACAGTCTGCAGTAGGAGGAGGATCTTAACCATCTTCACCTCATGACCAGAAAGCAGAAGGGTAAAACAACTTTCATTCCAACAACATAGGCAGGGCACATGGGTGCAGACCCAGTACACAACCAATATTAGGCTACCCGGGAACCTGATATCCTGACAATGGCAGGAAGGGGGAATGCAAACATTGTGTGTTAACACCAGTCTAAAACAAGGTGGCATTGGTAATTTCTTGTCTGGTCTGTGGCAGGAGGAGGATTTCTACTAACCACATGTGTGAGAACTTATGTTGGCTGGTCCTACACAGATCCAACACAAGACTACCTAGGTACCGACATCCGAGCGGTGTTAGGATGAGGGATGCTGGCATGTTATGAGTATAATTAGAAGAGAGGTGACCTGTGCAACACTCTTATTGTCACCACTGCCCCACTTCCCACTAACTGGCACCATTTGTTCAGCCCCTGGCTATTAGGTCTCAAACAATGAAGTTTTTCCATGGTCCACCACTCCAGCAGCCACGAACCAGTAAGTGGTAAGGATCTTCCTTGCTACACTTAAAGAAAAAAGGGGTGAAGAGACCTAGAAAAAATGCCTGGATCCCTATTGGACATCTGCCAGAAAGATCTTTTACTGAAGACAGTGCAACATGTGACCGTGTAAACCTATTTCAAAAAGCCAGTAAGCGCGAGCCAGGGAAGCAGGCAAAGCACACAACTAAAGGTGGCTTTTTTCATGATAGTCCATGGAATAGGTATGGTCTGGATTGGACAGCAGACAGATATCAGAATATACTATAAGAATACCTCAAGTGGTCTTGTGGAACACTCCATATCAATAGTGGGAATATATTGAGCAAGGGCAGTTGGTATGAGCCCTGTTATCTTGGCTCAATATGGAATTTTAAGAAATAAGTATAACCCCGAAGGCACCATAGCCACCTGATGGGATTTTGGAAGCAAATGCTATAAACCAAATCTAAGGATGGTGGATATATTATAAAAGGGCTAATGGAGGCAGGCAAGGAAACCAACCCATTGAGAATTGGCCCAAGAAGGAAGGTTCAGAGTTTGCAAGCAAAAAATTCTGGATTAGATTACACTATGGTGGTTAATTTAGGAAAAACCAAGGAATTGGTGAAAAGGAACATAACAAAATGATCCACTAGGAGTGATACTAATAGTATCATGCCCAAGAGTGTACGGAAGTTCAAGTACGTGGATATAGAGGAATGACTCATCCTGGGTCCATGTGCTGGATGTAAAAGAGACATTCAGGGACATTCCCCAACCAGAGGAGGAAGCATAGGTAAAGATTTGTAGGTCCAAATTGGGTGAAGGTAATGGAACACCAGTGGCAACATCATGACAGCCAGGCACCCACAGAACCCAAAATGAAGGAAGTTATGGCAAAAGTAACAAAAAAAGGTAAGAGTAATCCCGAATGTGAGAATCTCAAAAAGAGATGCAGAATGATAAAAATCAAGAAAATAAGAATAAGACAGGAAGGGAGAGGTTTTACATTGCAGAAATGAAAGTGGACCAGGAATGCTAAATAATATGTTTAGGGTTAGGATTAAGTAGGAAACAAGCAGAAGAATATAACACAGGGGAAGGAAAACAAATGGTGCACACCAGATTAATCAAAGCTGAATAATGTGAGAAAGTTTAAGATTCTCTTCAACAGGGAAAGAAGTTCCCAAAGCTGAAAGAGGTAAAGGATTAATCAAATTCCTCTTCCTCATTCACCCCATAAATGAGGGGGACAAATGCCTGTTGAAGGGACTGGAGCTGAAGTACCTGACAGCATAAGGAAACCCACTATTCATCCATAATGACCACCACTTCATCTCCAGGGAACGTGCCTCCATAAAACCATCATTATTACACAACCTGTGTGAATAATTTAGAGTACATGATCTAGTGTTCATAGTTTGAAGAAAAAGAAAAAAGAAAAATTAAGTTCCCTCAAAATCACAAATCTTGCTAAATTTCTGTTCTTTAAGAAATTGATTCTGAATTCTGTGACTTACCTTATCACACAGCAGTGAGGTGGCTCAGCTGTGGTAAAGTCCTGTTTCGTTTTTATAAGCTCCGAAGAGAAATAGATATTTTTCTCACCGTAAAGGATAGAGCTGATCCACTTCTGCCAGATCCTACCTGGCTGTCAAAGATGTCATTTTTGGTTGACATCACATCCCAC